TCCTCTTCATTTTAAGCAAGGTTGAATCATCTACATAGTGTAAGTTATTAATGAGTCTTCCTCCAATTTTGATGCCAAGTTTCTCAGATTAGTTGCTTAACATAAAGATTGAATAAATACGGTGTAAGAATACAACCCTGTATCACACCTTTCCTGATTTAAAACCATTCAGTGTCCTCTTCTTATGTCTGAAGGGCTTCCTGTTGGTTTATGTACAAGTTCCTCATTATAAACACATGTTTAAACTAAAAAAATGTAGTGTCTCGATTATATTTATAATTTTAATTGATGTTACACTGAAATGCATGGTTGTAACCAACTTTTGCCACTTACATCAGCATGTTTTATTATAAATAATTATTTTAGTGTTTCATTTGAAGCAGAATTTCTGCTTCAAAATGCATAATAGTATTGAAGTATCAATTCATATGTTTAAATTTTTTAAGGGACATTGAATCAATGTATACTTTCAAAAGGTATATATTTTTTCAAGTCTTCATTAAAAAATGTGGTTACCAATTTATTAAATAACTTTCTATTGAAAGTTTACGTTATTCATATTGTTTGTTAGAATTATGTCTAAGATTATTATAGTTATTAAGTGCTGTTGACTCATTTCTGACTTATAAAAACCCTTTATCAGATTTTAGAAGAACTGCTAATGAGTTTGAACCACCAACCTTGTGGTTCAAACCAATCTTGTGGTCAAGCGCTTAACCCACAGCACCGCAACAGGATTCCATGTCTAAAATTAGAAATTCTTAAATAAGAATATCATTCTATCTACTTTTATTTCCATATTACATCCACAGTTTCTGGTGGAACTTTATTTTTGATGGTACTATTTTAAAGATAAAAATAGCACCATGAAATTTTAGTGTAATTAACTTCATTAATAATTATATTGTGCATATTAATATTGTTATTAGACAGGTCTAACCCTCATGACAATTTTGATTTTGATTTCATTGTGTAACTTTTCCCATCCTTTAACTTTTAATATTTCATTTTATTTTAGATTAGTTATGATTCTTTCAGAGTTTACATTTATTTCTGACTTAAAAGTCTCTCCATCAACAGAAAAAATGAACCCAATTGTATTTATTTTCATATTAGATTTACTTTTGGATATGTACTTATTTTTTCTTTTTGTATTTTTTTTTTATGATTTGCTATCTTTCCCATGATTTCTAAATAAGTTATCTTTTTTCCCTATTGGTGCTCATATTTTACATAAAATATAGCTATTTTGATGTGATATCATATTTAATCTCTTTTTAAAAACAAACATATAAATGTCTACATCAAAGATAAAACTGTATCTACTATAGTTCCACCATTTTAGGTAAGGATACAATTTTACTTACTTCCTCACAATTCTCTATCCTTACTGCTAAGTTTCTATTAATTTATAATTTTTCTCCTAGTTATGACTATTTAATTATTATAAATTTTGTGTGACATATAGGTTCTCATGACTTGTAGAAATGGTAACATTGCAGTTCCTACAAGGGCTTGTCAGGAAACATAAATTTATGCAAACAGGGAGTGTAGGGGATTTGGATGAAGTTGTCTGACTTAAAGGGTCTCTAATACTCCACTGGAGTCCTGGGGTGGCGCTGTGGGTTAATGCGTCAGACTGCAAAGCCATTTGAACTGCAAGGTTGGCAGTTCAAGCTCACCAGTTGTTCCTCGGAAACCCTCTACAGGGTCACTATGGGTGGGAACTGACTGGATAGCACTTAATAACAACAACAACAACAAATCCTCAGCTGGTTGATGCCCTTCAGAAATATAGGCGTACTAACACCCAAGTTTAGTTCAATTTTGACATAATAAAGCTACGAGGTTTCCGGAATATTGCCTCCCATTTCAAAGCTCTTGAAAACACAAAATTTGCCTCTACTACAAGAAGGGCCTGCAGGTGTCCCTGTTTCAACTTATGATTGATAAAATTTGCATTCTGTTTTGCACTCCCACTAACATAATTTTGAATTCATTCTCAGTTGAAATGTTTTCAGAGTTCACTGCAATTATTTTGGGAGTTAAATCTTCCCATTGGTGAATATTTTATTTTCCTATCTCTTTATTTTTCTTTTCAGCTGTAAATTTTCAGAACTCTCAAATGACTGAGACTATCTTTCTATTGATTTAGAAATCTTCCATTACAAACTCTGCACCCAACCCCACCCTTAATCTTTGAAACACCACTGCTTCCTCATGTTTAATATTAACAAGAGATCTAAGGCTAGGTTTTTAAAATGCTATTTTTTTCTCTCCTTTTTTGCTTGTAGGATTTTTATGATACTTTTTTTATTTTTTAAACTTATAAAATTCCATAATATAACTAAATACATCTTTCAATTATTTTTATCTAGTATAAGATGGGTCCTTTTCACTTGTAAGAAACATATTCCTGATTAAAAACATTTTTTCTATTGTATGTTGTCAATAATTTGTCTTTTGCATATGCTCCAGTCTCTTTTTTTGGTGTGTCTCTGTGGGTTAATGTGCTGGACTGAAAAGTTGGTTTAAACCACAAGGTCAGCATTTCAAGCTCACTAGCTGCTCCTTGGAACCCTATATATGGTTGCTTTGAGTCAGAATCGACCCTATGGCACTTAAGAACAACAACAACAAATATCTATAAAATATAACTTAATTTTCTGTCCTTCAATTATCCATCTGATGTTCTGACCCATTGGATTAATAGAGCTTCAGTGTTTCTTCACACAAGCAATTTTATTTGATGTACTTATGATGCTAGAGTCCTGGTGTGGCACTGTGGGTTAATGTGCCAGACTGCAAAGCTGTTTGAACTGCAAGGTTGGCAGTTCAAGTTCACCAGCTGTTCCTTGGAAAGCCTATACAGGGTCGCTATGGGTTGTAACCGACTTGACGGCACTTAATAACAATAACTGGTGTTCTTTATTTCTATTGGACTATAAAGCAAATGACGTTTTATTTTTCCTTCTGTTTCTTGCATGCTGATGCTGCTGTGTTCTATAGCATCATTTCCAACTCATAGCGACCCTATATTGGGTTTCTGAGACAGAAAATCTTTATGGTGTAGAAAACATCATCTGATTGGTGGATCCAAACTGCTGACCTTGAGATTAACAGCCCAAACATGTAACCCAGTTATTTTCTTTCTCTTAAATAGTGTATTTCTCTTTATGTACTGAAAATTATTTTCACATTCTTCTGTGGCACAGTAGGATAAGCACTGGACTGCTAACCACAAGGTCAGAGGTACAAACCCACCAGCTACTCCTTATAAACCTTATACAGGATCGCTATGAGATAGAACCAACTGGACAGATATTAACAGTCCTTAACAGGCTAAACTAGGCAAGGAGCCCTGGTGGGACAATGGGCTAAGCATTGGGCTGCTAACTGAAGGGTCAGCAGTTCGAACCCACATAATCTGCTCTGAAGTGGATAAAGGAGACAGTCTGCTTCCCTAAGAGTTTACAGCCTTGGAAGCCCCATGGAGCAGTACTAATCTGCACTACAGAGTTATAGTGAGTCAGCATTGATGGGACAGAATGAGGGTATTTTTTGTATACTGCTGGTTCATGACTTTTTAATTTCCTGTTGAAATAGTGCAGCTTCTACCAATCGGTGTGCTCCCAAATCCTCTGAGTATATTATCCATTTATTAACTAGAAGTCACCTGGTTGCTTTGATGCAATCTTATGCTGTGATCATTTAAGAGGAGTAATTGTGAAACTAGCAGAAGTTTGGGTTGTACAAGAGGTTTGCAATTGACTTCTAAACAAAAGGTTAGTGGTTTGAACCTACCAGCGGCTCTGTGTAAAAAAAGGCCTGGTAAACTGTTTCTATAAAGATTACAGCCAAGAAATCCCTATGGAGTATGCTCTTTTACACACGAGGTCACCAGATGTAGGAACAGACTCAGTGTTAACTGGTTTAGTACAAGAACTAGGCCCAATGCTTGGCACCAGCTGTTATGTATTCAACTGTTAACCAGAAGGTTAGTTGTTTGGGCCTACCCAGAAGTGACTCCAAAAAATATCAGGCCATTTGCTTCCAAAAGGTCACAGCCATGAAAACATTATGGAGTGCAGTTCTAATCTGATACATATGGGTTGTCATGAGTTAAAATTGACTTGTCAGAAAAAATTTTTTTAAGTAAAGGAACTAGAGATTTTATTAACATATAACTCACATACCATAAAATTCACTCATTTTAATGTATTTAATGTGTTTTAGTATGTTGTTAGAGTCCCGTTATGGTACTATAGGATAAGCACTGGACTGCCAACTGCAAGGCCAGCAGTTCAAATGCATCAGTCAGTCTTCGGAAACCCTATGAGTCAGAAAGTACTCAATGGTACTTAACAACAACAAATTATATTGTCACAAACTCCACTGTTTGTTTTCTCAGCTTGGACATCAGTGAAGTACAAATATGCATGTCTGGCTTTCTTCATGGTGTTTTAGCCCATAGCAATTCAGCAGATCTTATTTTTGGTATCGTCATACTTGCCCTTGGGTTTCTTGATGTTACTGTGATTTTATAATACTCTGGCTCATAGCAACCCCAGACCAAACCAAAACGGCAACAGCAACAAAAAAACTTCTTCATGAAGTTGCTTCCGGATGTCTGATATCATCAGGAAAAATATAAAAACAGAAACAAAAAAGATACTGCAATCAAGTGAATTAGGCCTCATGGTGACCCTATATAGTGTTTCTGAGGATGTAAATGTTTATGGGAACCGAAAGCCTTATCTTTCTCTCACTGAGCAGTTGGTAGGTTTGAACTGTGGACCTTGTGGTTAGCAGTCTAGTGCTTATCCTACAGCACCATACCAAGAATCAATAATGAGTAATTTTGTTGTTAAGTGCCTTTTAATTGGTTCTGACCGATAGTGGCCCTGTATAGGATTTCCAAGGAATGGCTGGTGGACTTGAGCCACTGATCTTACCATTAGCAGTTCGGTGCTTATCCTACAGTACCACACCAGGACGCTAATGAGTAACTTGCTGTTATTGTTGTTAAGTGATGTTGAGTTGGTTCTCATAGAGACCTTTTATAGGGTTGCTGAGGAGTAAATGGTGCATTTGAACTGCCAACCTTGTGGTTCTAAAATCACTTTGAAGGAGAGAAACTTCTTAGAAAGTAGAAAGATCCAGCAAACAATGCACTATCACTCCTATCCCTTACAATTCTCTCACCCACTCCTGCCAAAAAATTTTTTTTAAAATGTCAAGTTGAAAACTAAAATGTAGAGAAAGCTTTTAGATGTGTTCTTTAAGTCTGCTTTCTGCATTTTGGTCTGTAAACAATGAAGATGGAGAGATGCTATTCCCAAGAGGAGCGTCTGTATGAGACAGAGTAGTAAGACAATGGTATGCCTTTATACCTGTGTACTACCATGACATACTACAGTAGCGTAGTGGTTACGAATCGGGCTGTGAACCGCAAGGTCAGCAGTTCGAAACTACCAGCTGTTCTGCGGGAGAAAGATGAGACTTTCTGCTCCCGTAAAGATTTACAGCCTCGGGAACCCTGTACAGGGTCACTATGAGTCGGAACCGACTCCACGGCACATAACAACAACAACAACCATGACATACAAGGACTCTCCCACATCGTCCATTAAGTGATGAGTGAAAGGACCCTCGGGACTGAGGCTCTGAAAGGGGATACTCTGAGGCCAAAAGACAAGTCCATGTAGAATGTAATGAACATGAACCAGAACAGACTGCCCATATCGAAGGAGGTCTCTTCGTCTGTCTCTACTGCGGGAGCACGTCTTCAAGACTTCTTCAGGAAATGAAGCTTTCAATTACTCTTCAGTGTCTGCCACCAGTGTGGACGCAGCTCTACCTTATTTAGAAAAACTTTCCTGAATTTATGCTGTGTAGATTGTACCCAATTCAAGCCCTCAGAGCAAAGGGAAATTTATTTTATATGCTTTTTATATTTGTCCATTTAAACTGGTTTCTTGATGTGGTGAGGAAAAGAGATTGGCTTGATATATGTCAAGACATATCTCACTCAGAAGTATAAGGACAATTTGAAAAGCTCTTAGTTAAGATGTGCAGTAGATCATCCAAGTAATAATGCATTTTATTGATCCTCACGTTAATATATTAAGTATTGGATCACACTAAATCAGTACTAGCCAAGTGTGATTTTTTTTTTTCCTTACATGGGCTAAACTTAAATACTAGAAAATGCAATGATTTAAAAACTGAAACACTGTTCTATTTCACATAGTCACCAGCAGAAACAAATGAACACATGAAAGTACATACACAAAAGAAAAGCAGTTTAATCCTATCTTACCTTGATTTAAAGGTATAATTTTCAAAATCCTCAAAGTTTTTGAAATACTAAGCATTGAAATGGAGCCTAGAAATGAACATCTTGCTATGAACCTGTGGAATTAAATTACAATTATTCAAAATTCACATTGAGTCTATCCAACTTAACTTTAGCTTTTTGTACTCTTTGAAACTAAATTTTAAAACTGTATTTCTAAACATTTCCTTTGCTCCCTTTCTTCAAATTTACATACAGTTATAGTTTTTTTCACAGATTAAAAAACAAAACATTTCTACAGGACAAGATAGTCAGGTAAGTATTAATCCAATCACTTAAATTATGACAGTTTTTAAAGTTTGATGCTATGAATACTGTTATGTCCCTATCAAATGTTGTGTATTGTGTAAAACAGATCTCGTCATATAATTACTAAGACACTTTAAATTAAGAAAAGTTGTTATCTGAAAGGATAATATTTATTTTAAATATTTAATATTTAAACTTTTGATGATGATGGTGATTGACAATGAAGATAATAATAATAGTAATGATAGTAGAAGCAGAATGTATAGTGTTTAGGGCCAGAAATTGAGGCTGCACCATGTACTAGCTATGCCACAGCAAAATTACTTAATCTTCTTTGCCTCAGTTTCCTCAGCTTTGAAGTTGGTACTGTACTTCCTGAATGACAGGCTTTTTACCAGCAACAGTACTAATGATAGTACTCATAGTAGGGATAGTAATGATAATAATTAAAATGACATTCATACCATTTCCTAATTACTTACAATATAACAGTGTTGCTTATGATCTTTATAAAGGTTATTTAAAAACTCTAGCAAAAATTCGGAAAGTAGAGCATAATATTAAATTATTTTTAAAAGAAGTTTGGTGCCAGTTATCTTTTTCTTAGCCACAAAATAGCAAGCACACTAAATAGAGGCATTAAAAATATAGACATGTAAAGTAATAGAATTTAGTGTCACACTCCAGAAACAATGTACGTAGTTAATGTTATTCTGCTATCTAGCATGTTTATGGATCTCAAGCAATGTAACTAATGGAAACATAGATTAGGAGCTGAAAACTCAAACATGCCAGGATCCTATTCTGAGTATTTAGAGGATTCTTAATTTAATCTCCATATTTCTAATTTCCAATAGAAAACAGAGATCACATCCCGTTCTTTTTGTTTTCATTTTGCATTCTGAGAATTAGCTCATGTGGAGCTGCCTAAGAGAACTCACGATGAAATACCCTTTATCCACAACATTTTTGGAGACAGTAAACGTTGTAGATGCCTATGTTTCTTTATGAAAAATATTTACTTAACAAGATGTGAAGACGTTTGCAACTGAAATACTCACTCAAACAAAGTAACACTGAAATCAAGCCAGTTCCATGGATCGCCAGCAAAAGAAAAAGGTCCTGCCCAGATGCCTCTTGCAATGAGTTTGACAAGTATTTCAAATGTGTAAATTCCAAGCAGAGTATTCCTGGAGAAATGTTTTCATACAAATATTAAAGGTGAGAATAATATACTGTGAAGTCTGACATGTGAATACTGTATCTCTGACAACTATCTGGCAATTGAGAATTATCATCAAAAAGGGGGAACAGATATGTTTGATAGCCAACAAACAAACAACAATCAACTGAACAATTAAAAATGTAAATAGCACTTGAGTCTTAAGATAGGACTTTACATAGGACTTCTTGGGTAGGCTCGTATCTGTGATATTAGCTGTGAAATTTGGTTAGTCCTAGTTTAGAGGACTACAGCGCAGTAGGATAAACACTGGACTGCTAACCATAACATCGGTGGTTCAAACCCACTAGCTGCTCCTCGGGAATACTATACAGGATCTCTATGAGTCAAAATTGACTCATTGGCACTTACCAACAACATACATATGTATATATATATACATATGTATATATATAACATATGTATATAATTAGCTTGTTGCCATCAAATTAATTCTGACGCATAGAGACCCTCTGGGATAGAGAACTGCCCTTACAGGTTTCCAAGGCTGTTCTCTCAATGAAAACAGACAGCCACATCTTTACGCACAGGAGCAGCTGATGGATTCGAACTGCTGACCTTTCATTTAGCAGTTGAGTGCTAAACCACTATACTGCCAGCTCTCCTTACATACGAGTGTAAGTAAAATAAGTTTTGCTACTAGGGTTCGAGTTCAGGGTGGGTTCAGATCACCAACCTTTCAGTTAGTGGTCAAGCTCTTAACCATTTGTGCTACCCAAAACATCTATATATACACACATATACACATTGTTGTTGTTGTTAAGTGCCATCTAGCTGGTTCCAACCCATAGTGACACTGTATAGAGTTTCCAAAGAGCAGCTGGTGATCTTGAACCCCCGACCTTGTGGTTCAAACTGACTTTGCAGTCCAGCACATTAACCCACAGTGCCACACCAGGACTCCACATGTATACATACAAATAGTTAACCAATTTTAGGATATATATAAGGAGATCTGGTAGCGAAGTGTACTATGAGTCAGGCTGTTAACCTCAAGGTCAGCAGTTTGAAACTACCAGCTGTTCTGCAGGAGAAAGATGATGCTTTCTGCTCCCATAAAGATTTACAGCCTTGCAAACCATATGCAGGGTTGCTATGAGTCGGAACTGACTCCATCACATCACATAACAACCTTCCCCATCAGGATCCATCTATATATGTTGTTGTTGTTGTTGTTGTTAGGTGCCAGCAAGTTGGTACCAACTCATAGCGATCCTATGTACAACAGAAGAAAACACTGCCCGGTCCTGGGATAACCTCACTATTGGTGACACACTTGAGCCCATTGATGCTGCCACTTTGCCAATCCGTCTCACTGGGGGTCTTCTTCTTTTACTCTGACCCTCCACCTTACCAAACATGATATCCTTCTCCAGTGACTGGTCCCTCCTGACAATACGTCTGAAGTATGAGAGATGAAGTCTGGCCATCCTGGTCTCCAAGGATTTCAAAAAGTTTGTGAGAAAATGGAATTAAAAGTAATGGAATTTTTTCATTAAATTTTTGAAGCCCTCCTCATGCGTGTGTGTGTGTGTGTGTGTATGGAGTCCTGGTGTGGTGCTGTGGGTTAATGCAATGGACTCAAAGTTGTTTTGAACCGCAAGGTCGGCAGTTCAAGCTCACCAGCTGCTCCTTGGAAACCCTCTACAGGGTTGCTATGGGTCAGAACTAACTCAACAGCACTTAAACAACAACATAGTGCCATTGAATCAATTCCGACCCATAGCAAACCTATAGAGCGCTATCGAGGAATGACTCGTGAGCTTGAACCGCCAACCTTGTGATTTGAACCAACTTTGAAGTCCAGCACATTAACCCACAGCACCATACCAGGACACTCTCTCACTCTCTCTACATATATAATAAAAAAAAATTTATGTTAGTGGGCATATAAATATTATATTAATATCAATGATAATATGTAGAAAGTATGACTATTATATTTGTTATGGCATGTAGTTTAATATAACACATGAACTATAATCATACATGATATCATATCAGATATAATAAAATAACATGACTTACTCTAATATTGTTCTCCAATATGAAAAAGTAGTCATGGTCATTAATATGCAGTCAGTCAAGATGCTAATTAAAATTAACAATCGGAAAAAGGTAGATTAAAGTCAAGGAATAAGAGATAATAATGGTTAGAAAACTTTTATTATTTCTATTATATGTTTATATTTGCTGGTATAAGTGATAAAATTATTTTTAATATTACTGAATTAACATTTGTTAATATTTGCTATTACTATGTATACTAGAAAATTCAAACCCTTAACAAATCACAGGTGTGCTGTTTCAGCATCCCTAAAAGACAAACTAGAACTATAGGGTATCCAAAACTATAATCTTTATGGAAGCCGACTGCCACATCTGTTTTCTATGAAGTGGATGATGGGTTAGATTCACCAAACTTTCAGTCAGCAGCTGAGTAATTTAACCACTGTGACACCAAGCCTGCTTATGGAACATGTAATGAGGTCATAAATCAGATTTCAATATGACTTTTTTAAAGCAGAAGATAAGTGTAGGGCTATTTAAAAAGCACAATAGCTACATGTGGTATTGGCACAGTTTAAAGCATAACCAATAAACCAAAAGAAAAGGATATGGATGAACCAAAACCTTAATAGTTGTTCTTCTAATAGAACTGAAAGGTGACAAAGTACAACAGGCGAAAGTGGCATTGAACCTGAAGATTGTCCTCTTTTTATTTAGTACCATAAAAGTCTATAGGAGGAAAAAAGAATACCAAGTGAAATCAAAAGTATGAACTATAATATAATCAGTTATATACCACACGACCAATAATCATTACAGTCTCAGATTCTATCAGTTGTACTTTTCTATTTTTTTATTCTCTTATTTGCTAATATTCTCCTGGTGTAGCACTGTAGGTTAATGCACTGAACTACAAAGTCAGTTTGAACTGCAAAGTCAGTAGTTCAAGATCACCAGCTGCTCCTCAGAATCCCTATATGGGATTGCTTTGGGTCAGAACCGACTTGAAGGCATTTAACAACAACAACACTTATTCTTTTTGGCTAAATCAAATGCAAAGGGTTCATTAAAAACTTATTTTAATTCATATTCAGGCATATATAAAATTATTTGTTATGCCAATGTTATACTTAAGAAAGCCAAGAGCAATCCACTAAGGCCCAGGTCTCCCCACAGAGCTAACTGTAAAATAAATCTATTGCTTGATGATTCATGGAAGTGCATTTAATAGCATCAGAGGCAGTATGCCTCAGAAATCATAAATGTAAAAGAGTTTATTTGAGTTTAAAGCAAATGAGGTGTGAGATCGCAATAGTATGGAAGACCCATTGCACTGTATTACTACACTCATCACTAGTAATGATCTTTGAAATACAACTCCATGTTTTTGCCATCATAGACATAACAATGGCACTCCTTTGATACCACATTAAACAAATCAATGTTGACACCTCCTTTATCTCATCTTATTTCCCACAACTTGCAACAGAGATGCAGAATTCCAGTTATGCAATCACTCTGTTTATTCCCCATTCTGGAATCAATCTCCTCGCTCACTGTTCAAAGAATCTCTTTGCTTTATCCTATAAAATTTTAAAGTGTTATTGAGGTTATAACCTAAATCCTACTTTTAGTTCAGACTCTTTAAGTTTTGTCTTTTCTAAACATCACTATTCTTCTAAGTAAATGTTCTGTGCTTATTTCCAGACTGTTATATATTTGATAGTTGCCTGAAGTCATTCTGGAGATAAGAAAGGATGTGAATGTATGAATAAATAAGAATTATAACAAAAATATAGGTTGAAAATACTTTCCTAACTATTGAATAAGCTCATGAAGTTTAACATTAGAAATTGCTGAGGATATTCTAGACATTTTGTAGTTATTTTGAAATTGGTAACCACAAGCTACTCACCATGATGCCATATAATTAGTTATTTTTATTAAGGCAAAAGGAAAGTAACCAAAAACCAACTGAACAACCAGGAAAGGAATCAGTTTTAATAAAAATCTTAAATATGTTCCCAAACTAAAGTACCTTCTATAGTCCTTTATAACTTATAATTACTGCTTAGCCTGTTCTTAAATTTCTTTTTATATTCTGTCTGTTAAGTACAGGAGTATATTTTTTTACATATCTGGAAAGTAAAACTATAAAAATTCAACCACCATACATTCAGTTAATTCTTACATTTTTGTTGTAGTATGGGTCCACATCTTCCAAGGGTGCTGACACCATTTCTGGAGAAAGGTTTCCATATGCAAACGGAAGCTCTTTGCCAACTTCCAAGTCAGTACTTGGTTGTAAGTCTTCGTCATGTTCCTCATTGTGTTTTTTAGCAATACGCTGTTTCATAAGCTCAAGAGACTCTTTGGTGAAAGGGACAAGGCCCTTTGGTTCTGGCGAAGCCAACATTTCCAATTTTGCACCTATAATACATCAATTTCCTTTAGTTCTATATAAGTTGGGCATATAAAGTTATAGAAATCTGAGAGGGGAAGAAAGGAAACAAAATCCTGAAAATACACAGTCAAAGAATACATTTCTGAATTTTGTAGAAATCTGAGTTGTCATACTTGGGCTTTGTTGTACTTCTTATTAGACTGATATTAGATTTTAATTAGATTAAATTAGTTATTTCATAAATAATTAATTCTGTTAATTAACTTACTCCTTGAGTGATTTATCTCTTGCGACACTATATCTTTCAACCTCTTCATGCTAATAAAAAGTTCTATGGTTGCTAGAAATAATCTTCTGTCCCAAATCTGTTCTTTTACTCTCAGCTGTGTTTGACCATTGATTGAATTTTCCTTCCCTACATTCAATCTTCATTGGTTCTGGGGGTCCTGCTTTTCTGGATCTCTACTTAGATATCAATATTTCCCCTTTACCAAGTTCTTCCTCTGAACTTAAAGTCTATCTACTATCCCTTAAAGTTCCTCCTCCCTGCTCTGCTATACTCATGGCTGTGGTGGATGCAGGGGCAATGAGAATTTCTCTTACTCTTTATACATGTATATTTACCAAGTGCATCTCCTAAAACACTCTCTGCCTCCAGATGTCTATATGGCAGTGCCACCAAAGGCAGCAACTTAACAAGGAAAGACAAAGTTCATCGTCTTTCCCCGTGACTAAGAGCTCTTTTAAAACTTTTGTGATCATTCTAAAAATGAAAACATCACCTTATTACCCTGGATTTTAATGAAATATTCCTCTTTCTCATCATTTGCTCTAAACTAAATTTATTTTTCAATAATTCCTATTGTATATCTTAAATAGTACCTAGTATTTATGTATCTACTTCAAGGCAGTTATCTTTGTACTTTGTTACCTGGGTTGCTCTGCTAGTCTTTGCAGGCTTTTCTCACCTCTTATCTTTACTCTTCAAAAGCCCTGCACAGACTCACTATGATTTGGAACTGGGTCAGTGGCACTTTACAACAACAACAATCTTTACTTATGGTGAGTCATCATACAAACCACTCAAAATAGTCTTCATCAAATAAAATTTCATGTATCAATTTCTTCTTTATGAGCCTTGGTCTTCACTCTCCTATAAAAATGTGTTCTTTTTCTGAGTCCCTCCACCCCAATTCCTGTGCAAATTTGTTCTTTAATAAAAAATTCTACTCAGTGACAAGTGTTGATCAGTCTTAATATCCTGTCTCCAAACCTTCTTTGCAATTTTATTATTGTAATCAAGGATATTTTTGTACTTGGTATCCTGGCAATTTTGATATGTATATTTTATACCCTATAGTGCTTGGAGGAGTCCTGGTGTGGCACTGCAGGATAATGTATCAAACTGCAGGGTCAATTTAAACAACAAGGTTAGTGGTTCGAACCCACCTGTTGCTCCGTGGAAACCCTAGACAGGGTCGTCATGAGACAGAACTGACTCCATGACATTAAACAACAATATAGTGCTTGCTCTAGCTGAAATAGTTCTATGAAGATTTTTCTGTGAGAAATACATAAATGTTCTACTCCACAATTTCTCAGTTATACACTCCCTGCCTATAATGGAAAGTAAGAAAGGAGCTCTGGTAGCGTAGCGGATATGAATTGAGCTGCGAACTGCAAGGTCAGTAGTTTGAAACTACCAGCTGTTCCACAGGAGAAAGATGAGGCTTTCTGCTCCCATAAAGATTTATAGCCTCGGAAACGCTGTACAGGGTCACTATGAGTCGGAACCGACTCCACAGCACATAACAACAACAACAAAAGAAGCTAATAAATCTTAATGAGATATCAATCATTCCACGAATCAGATTACTACTGCTAGTTTTTGTAAATGGTGGGTTAGGATTATTTCAGGGATTAGACACCTAGTACATTTTTCTGTCATGGGAAATAAATGGAAAACCAAATACTAGGACAACTTGTATGCCTTTCACGGCATCATGTTTCTGGACTTCACTTTCTTTTCATGTCTTCTGCTTTCTACCTGAAGAATGGCTTTATTTGCCTACTTCTCAGAGTACACATAGACTCAAAAAGACACCTAGTCTCAACTTTATTTGCTATTTTCATTAACTCCCCCACTATAAGTAAAAAAAAAAAAAAAAAAAAATGCTTGAAAGATACTTTTATTGGCCTAACTCAGTTTATGGATACACTTCCCCCTTTTTCAAATCCATAGTATTTAGAGATCGTGGGTCATTTTATAATAGTAGTGGCTGCTGTGAGTATACAAAGTTACAGAAACTTGGGGTGGAAAGAAATGAAACAAAAATCTGAAAATATACAGTCAAAGAAAATATTCCTGAATTTTATAGAAGTCTGAGTTGTCATTCCTGGGCTTTGTTGTACTTAATATTAGATTGAATTAGTCATCTCATGAAAAATTTATTCTGCTTATTTAGTTATTCCTCCAGGGATATTGTAGGCTTGGAATGGGAAACAATTTTAAAAAGAGAAATATAAACTAAGAAGTTCACTATATTTGTTTGGAGCTCTCTTTTCAGACTAGTGGTATAAAACTTAAAATTTTATCACCTTAGAAATATACTTATCTCCCAAATAACTTGTCCAATATCATGTACAAAATTCATGCTTATTAAAAGTTTTCTAATAATTATTCATATATACCATATGGACAGACATGAATATAAGAGCATATCAAACTTGTTGGGAGTCAAAAATCTTTGAACAAGTATAATTTATAAATACAAGTGACAAATAACTGAAGCTTGCTCTTACATCTAAAAACAATTTAAATTATTTGATGAGTCTTTCACTATTGTATTCCTTATAAAGATACCCTCAAATAAATAGCAACATTTTCTTAATCGCTCATGGTCATCATTATTAGCATTAATTATATACCACAGTGATGCTCCCAATGACAACTATTAAATGATCCCATTACTGTGGTTTTACGTTTTTCTCTTTCCTATGTTAGCACTTCTGGTGTGGTGCTGTGGGATAAGCACTGGACTGTGAACCACAAGGTCTGCAGCTCAAGTCCACCAGCTGCTCCTTGGAAAGCCTATTCAGGGTCGCTGTGAGTCGGAATTGACTTGATGGCACTAAACAGATACCTGAGCAGTCAGTTACGACTTGGTACTGTTTTGATATTTGTAACCTGCTCCTTCTATCACACAGAAGTTTCTGGGTAAAGATGTGAGTGCTTTCACGTCTTCAAAGAAAAATACATAGAATTTATAATACTACTGGAAACTCAGTGATCTTATATATATATATCAACTAACACTGACTCAAAATGAATGTTTTTCATCTTTATTTCCTCACCATAATTCTAGATTATTTAATTAGAAAAATTAAGAAACATACACATTTGGACTTGAAGTAAGTCAACTTATAAAATGTCACAACATGAAGTATATACTGGATAATATTAAAGTCAATTTAAAAGGTCTCAGAGTCTTTTTCCAGGCTAATGCATATAAACCCATCCTCATCCTTTTTAATGTCTTATTCAGCATATCATCAATTTAAGCATCAGTAGCGATAGGAAACCCTGTACAAGGTCGCTATAAGTCGGTTCCGACTCCACAGCACATAACCACCACCACTATTACAGAAAGATAGCTTACTAAAAACAGACAGGAAAAATAAGATCATGAACTTTAGAATGAGACCTACATTCAAAATCCTCTACTCTGTTACAAATGACTGACAGACTACAGTCACATTACTAATACCCTGAGCCTGTTCTCCTTGGGCTAAAGAAGAATTAAATAAAATGATATGGGTAAGAATGTTATTGACACATAGTAGTTGGGAAGTAAATGTGAAGTTGAAAAATTGAGATAAGATTCATTACCTTTCAATAATGGATGCAACCTAACAGAATAACATATAAGAGAAATAAATGTAAGACTTTGAACCAAACAACCCATATGCATAGTGCAGTATAGGAGAGATATGCTTTTGAAGCAGAGAAAAGTACCACAAGCATTTTAATAGTCAGTGCAATACAAGCTGATACTAGTTTGTGTCTTTCAACAAAGCTAAAATAATATTGTGATTCTATGAATACCCCATTCAAAAGGCATGTTGTTGTTGTTGTTATGTGCCGTGGAGTCGGTTCCGACTCATAGTGATCTTACACAGGGTTTCCAAGGCTGTAAATCTTTACGGGAGCAGGCCATCTCATCTGTCTCCCGCGGAGCAGCTGGTAGTTTTGAACTGCTGACCTTGTACCTCGCAGCCCGATTCGTAATCACTACGCTATCAGAGCTCCTTAGTGTATTCGAATGGTACAAAAATGTTGATCAAATTGAAAACTACACCATTTACAAACCTATGCTTTCTGGGAACCTGGAATTGATCCTAAGGATGAGAAAACAGATATTAGGTTAGTCTGCCAAAGACTACTTTGTGAAACTAGAAATTATAAAATATTCGACTCTAAGCTGGATAATTAATTGATATCTATGTATTCTCCTAATATGATTCCAACAAAATTATTTAGATTAGCTTGCAAGGACACAGGCCATAGAGCAAGATAAATTAAATTAAGAAAAATGAAGCAAAACAAGACAAAAAAACCCACATAAGACAATGGAGCCATATTGTTGTTGTTAAGTGTCTTGCCATCAGTTCCTACTCATAGCAACCCTGTATAGGGTTTCCATTGACTGATGGTTTTGAACTGCCAACTTTGCGGTTGGCAATCCAATGCTTATCCTACAGCACCACACAGTATTCACTGGAGCCATATGTTGTTAGGTGCCATCGAGTCGGTACCAACTCATAGCAACCTTATGCACAGCAGAACGAAACACTGCCCGATCCTGGGCCAACCTCACTACTATTGCCACGCTTGAGTCCATCGATGCTGCCACTTGGCCAATTCACTTCGTTAGGGGGTCTTCCTCTCTTTCTCTGTCCTTCCACCTTACCAAACATGATATTCTTCTACAGTGACTGGAGCCATACAGAGT